AATTACCCAATAAACTAAAAACACGACTCTGAAGTGTTTCTTCTTAGAAATTCTATTAGAATTCTAGTTTCTTACTACGGAAGTCTATGTATAAACTATGCATAGAGTATATCTGTTCTATCTAAAAAATGTAAGCAAGTATTCTTACTATATCTTTATTATGTCTAAAACAATGTGTTTTGGAGCCTTCACAAAGACTTGTTTTTAAGACTTGTTTTCTACACTGGTGTCTAGGACTATGTTTTTCAACTCTCACTGGAACTTATTTTTTAAGACTTGTTTTCTAAGACTAAGACTAAGACTTTCTAAGGCACTTAAAACATATTCTTACTTACTTATCTAAAACTTAAACTTACACCTCTGTTTCATGTATGAGTGGCTTTATACACTTCAATCCATCCCAAGGTTTTAAATCAATTCCTGCACTCTGATCTCTCTCGGAAGAATCTAGAGAGGCCTCTGATTTACACACTCCAACAAGCCAGGCCATGTCCCTGTGCTGTCCAAGCCCTGGCAGCAATGGCAGCAGCCCAGGTTTGAGTTCTCCTGCTCTCAGCAGGGGCAGCCGTATGGAGACACTGCAAGGCACAAGGCCCAGTTTGCTCTCCACACTGCCTGCAACTTCACCCCAAACCCCCCCCGAAACCTCTTGGCTTCCATCACAAATCAAACGTGTGCTTCCTTTGAACAAAGTGCTCGAAGTGTTGGTACACTGATGTGGCGAGTCAGGAGCAGGGTCTGTGAGCTATCGGAACACTGCCCATAAAATCTGTTCAGACTCCAGGAGATAAGTGTAGCTCCAGGTCCTTGAAGAGGCGGCATTCAGAGAATGGAATTGATCCAAAGGTAGATCATGATAAATATACTCAGGAAAACTTAAAGTTCATGAAGCGAAAGGAATGGGAGTGTTTTATATTTGTTTAAATCGGGTAAAGGGCCATGAGGGGAATGACGAGAGGCTGAGGCCACTTGGGTTTGCTCAGCTGGAGGAGACTGAGGGGAGGCCTCACTGCAGCTACAACTCCCTCATGAGGGGAGGATCAGGGACAGGCTCTGATCTCTGCTGTGTGACCAGGGACAGGACCCAGGGAATGGCTGGAGCTGTGCCAGGGCAGGGTTAGGGTGGATATCAGGGGAAGGTTTTTTCCCCCAGAGGGTGTTGGGCACTGAACAGGCTCCCCAGGGAATGGTCACAGCCCCAAAGCTGCCAGAGCTCCAGGAGTGTTTGGACAGCGCTCTCAGGAACAGGGTGGGAGTGTTGAAGTGTCTGTGCAGGAGCTGGACTCCTGATCCTGAAGAGTCCCTCCTAACTCACCTTATTCTGGGATTCTGAGGTACTTCATCCCATTTTCAAGCTTTTTAGACCAAGCTTTACCTAATGAATAGAAACATTTCTTCTGGGCCTCACTGCTCAGAAGGATCAGTGCACGGTGACCGATCCCCTCCCAGCCTGAACTGCTGCAGACAAAGTGTAACCAGGAAAAATAGGTGGGACAGTAAAAAACAGTAAAGTGGGACTGTACTAGCCATAAACAGGTGTGCAACTATACCCTCAGTTAAAAGTTATATCCCTGGAGAGACTATCTCTATGTTTAATACAAGAGTAGCCATAACTAGTCCAGATATATTTCAGTTTAGGCCAGAAACTTGTCTGCAATGCATGTGAACAATCAGGAAAAACGTGGAATTTTCCAGAATGTTCTCCAAACCTCTGAGTACATTTTGGCCAAGAACTTTCACAGCAATTTACTTTGAGTATCTCTGACTACAGATAATAATGATCACTGATTCATCCAACATACCTGTACTCTTACACAATTCTGTGTGTACTTTTGCCCTATTTTCCTTAGTTTTTTTATGATTAGATTACTCCTACTGATAATAGTAATGTCGTGTCCTGCTGCTCACTGTGTCAGAGCTACACATTGACATGGAATGAACCACTAACACACATTGTAAAGTAAAAATAAAATGTAGTTGGGTATTTCCTAAACAAGAAATGGGAGCAAGAATCCAAGGTTCAGAACCATAACTGTGTCAAGTGCCAGACTCATGAAACACGTGGCCAAAGCCTGTTTTAAGTGTTCTGAGGTACATTAAATAACAGTAATCCACGTCCAACTTTGGAAATCCACGAGCTGCAAATGTACTGAGACCACAGAAAAACTGGAAAGCACCACTAAGTACAACATGGTAAATTTATATTCCTCAGGCACCTGATTTTGGTCACTGCTAGCTTCTTCAGTGACCTTCCCATGGATTTCTGTCCTTAATTTTACAGGTATTTTAACACAACTCCCTTCAGTCCAAAGTGGAGAATCCTTCTTCCAAAGTGAAGAATTCTGATCTGGCTATTGCTGCCACTGAACCTGATTCCTTTCTTCCATCATCCATTTTATCCTCCCAGAAACGTTTGGAATGCTACAGCCTTTTCAACACAGAATAAACATAGCATGCAGTATTCAAGATACAAACCACTGAATTATACAGTGGATTAATTATTTTTATCCTATTTTCTATTTATTCTTTTTCTAGTAATTCCTGCTTTTTCAACTGCTAGCACACATTTCAAACCACTACTTTTCTGAATTATAACTGCTCCATGAAAATTGATGTTTTAATAAATAGTAGATTAGGACTGGTTTTCAGTTAAGCTCAGCTTATTTTATATGTATCTCCTCAGTTTCACCAGCCCCTCTCTTTACCAACATGAATAATTTTTATCATTACCTTCATATTGCTCACTGCTCATTCTCTTTCATGCCCCCCAAAGATTTTTCAGACAAGTGTATTACAGGTAAGTTTTTCTAACTCATTTGTGCATCAGGTTCACACATAATGGTGTTTTTCTTCTGTACAGCATTACTGCTCTTGTAATGGTAACAACTAGGATGATTGGTCCTAGACCAATTGGACTAGACTAATTTAGACTTATTTCTGGAAAAAATAAATAGTGTTTTAAGACCACACTAATTGAAAAAAAAATTAAAACCAAAAACCTTCCCCCACACGTGCTCTGGAAAAACTAGTTTTTCATTCAGTTAAAATGTCTAAAAATATTTTAGGTAACTTAGTTTTAAAGTTAAAACTAAGTTACCTAAAATGTGTGCTCAAGGTTTAAAAGTCTTAAAAGCTTGAAATCAGCAAGTATTAAAACATATCTCTGACTTCAAAAGGCTGAGATATATGTGATCCCTATTGATTTGAAAACACTTAATGTAAGAACTTGTTACATCATCTAACAGGAACTGGAGGAGAAGATAAACTGAATAGCAGCAAGAGCAGATAAAAATAACTGAATGGAGTCAGAAGTAGGTGAAGGTGTGCATGTGATTAATTTGGGCATTAAATCTGTCCACCTTTGCCATCATAAATCAGTTGTGTGGCACATGAACTTGGGAGTGTAAGATTTCAGTATAGAAACACACCACAAGCCAGCCCATAACCATTCTCTACTTAAAAGACTAGAGAAAGCTGTTTATTTAAAATTTGAGGTAATCAGCTATTTTTCCATAATAGCTTATTACAAATATTTATATAATTTTCTTTTTTTCCATTTCACATAATCATGACAGAACATTACCTAAGATTACCTAACACATTACCTAAGATCTTCTTTGGAATATTCTAGGTTAATTAAAGCAAAAAAAACAAGTGCTCACATGGCCAAAAGATGATCTCAAAATTAGCCCAGAATAACAAAATGACCATTGAAATCTACTCTGAATGAGTAATACCCTTCTAATCAAAGGCAGTTGTGGTGTCACATGTACTGGAACAGGCCTTGGAAAAATATCCTACACATTTGAACGTTTCCTGGGACTTGGGATTTCACCTCTAAGGTGACAGAGTTACCTTCAATGTCTCTGCCTTTCTGACCACTAAATTCTTCATATGATTGAGGCTCTTCTATAAAATCAAGAGGAGTAATTAAAGCATCCCTCTTCCTACTCTGTAATTAGGCTTTCCACTACAGTGTGGGCAATTCAAATCTGAACCTTTCAGGCAGCAGATCCTGTATATCCAATATCTTTTTTTGGTAAACAGTCCCTAGAGCTCTTTTATCCTTCATATTCTTCCCAACGTAGGATTATACCATGTTCTTCTAAACAAGAATTCATCAAAGTGGAAACACTGGTGTCCAAAACGTGGCTCTTGTCAAAGTCCATGGGATTTATCGAGCACAGAACCCTAACAGGTGACTCAATGGAGAAACTTAAATTTAGGTGACTTAGAGCTGATTAATACAGTAAACAATTTATTTATCTGTTAACTGTAGACAGGCAATAAATAATTTCAGTTCAATATTTTACTTTGTAAAAGAAAGTAAACACAAAGTTTATCAGAGGCCAATATATCAGGTGATGTACTGGGAATGTAACTATTTATATGAGACAATATTTAGCAGAGAAACAAAATAAAATGACAAGCCACTATCATTCACCTCACTTGTAATTGCCTGTGTACCATGGGTATTTTTATTTTTTAGCATAACCCAAACAAGAACTTGACTCTGATATATTCTATTGCATTTGTGATATACAATACAAATCCTATTTTCAATAAATATAAGCATGTAAACCAACTTTAACATACTAAAAATAGTCTGTACATATATTTTATATAAACCCACATCAACTATGGTTTGGTGTCTTTTCTTTTAACAGCAGCTACTTTACTATACAATGAACTTAAAGACCTTAATTTGCCTTTAACTCATTTGAGGTTGCAATAAAGTCTTCATAGAAAGAAACCGAGTTTCTGCAAAGATTTCAAAGATAATGGAAAATTTAACTCCAAATTTGGCAAAATATTAATTCAGGCACTTCAATAAAACCCATAATAAACAGATTCCAAGAGGCACAATTCCAAAAGTGATTTAATTATTTATGAGCTTAAAACTCAACACATGCAAAAGTGCTTTTTAAAACAAATATTAAATTGTTTGACAGTAATTGTGTTCTATTTTTAAAATAGAGGAGGAAGTTTTATTGATAGTATTTTACACCTGACCTCTCTAGCATATGTTAAAACTCTTCCTTGTTGAGGACAGAGCGTGTAAAATGCAATCACACAACCACACCACCATGCATTTGATCAAAGAAATGCAAACCACATGAGCAAAATTGACAGAAGTTTTGGTTTCAAGCCTGAATTACAAATCTTCAAGTCATGCAAAATCACTGATCCCTGAAAACATTCAGATTATGAAATAAAGATGCATCATTCCTGTAGGACAGGTGTGATGATTAAGAGTAGATTTACAGGGCACTCTTTTGTAGCTTTCCTCCCATTTCACTTAAATGACTTTTAAAATCATCATGGATATGATCAGCATATAATCATGAATGTGTGACCTGGAATTAGAGGGAGACACCTTTTTAAACTCTACTGTGCTGTAAAATTTGAAAGATAAGCATTCCTTTGGGATATGGACATACTGAGGAAGAAAAGCAGGATTGACCAACAGTGTTACTCTTTTTCCAACAGTTCTTTATTTCCTTTCCTGCTGTTCTCATTTCTCCCCATTTCCTTCCCTGCTGAGCTGATTTCTTCCAGTTGCTTCCTTGCAGAGTTCACTTTCTCTAGGAGCAGGAATATGTGTTCTGCAAACTCCCGCACAGCTCCACAGCCCCCTCTGCTCTTACAGATGTAACCAGCAGCCTTCTGAGCAGCAGCACAGGCATCAGCAGGCACACCACTCATGCCTGCCTGCTTCAGGCACTCCACGTCAGACTCCTCATTTCCTGGGGAGGAAGATGACAGGCAAGACCAAATATCACAGAAAGGAAAGAAGCAGAATTGTTCTCAGTGTTCTCAGTGTATGCATTGATTTGATTTGTGAAATGTGGTTTTTTTGTTGGTTTTTTTTTTTGTCACAATGTCCATCTCAGCAGCTCAACAGCACTTTGCACATGCAAGTCAGTTGTTGGAAAATCTTGATTATCCATGTGAATGCAGATCACACTTCAAAATCGTCAGGCAACAGAACAGTACTTTTAAGAGGAGTAAAATTATGTGAGCAGCTGAATAAGCACTGGCAGGACTCCACACTTAACCTGTCACTGAAATACAGTTTAGCACAGAACCACATGGCTTTCAGTTCTAATTCTGTCCATTTCTGACTACCATTTCAGAAAATAATCTATACAATATCCCTCTGAAATGAACTAGAATCAGTTCAAAATTGTCAGCTCTAAGTGTATGCTTATCAACATTTTGATATCAAAATGTTTCCTAAAAACAAAAACTTTCCTATATCCCACTGGAAAAACAGTGAAGACTTGCCTTACCAAATTACACAGATTCATCAATGTCTGTTACATTTAGATTATACCCTAACCGGCCTTGAAATACCTGCTTTTGGTTATTGTGTGCTGCAATGTGCACAGCAATCCCATTAAATTCAGTGTATTTACAAAAAAAAAAGTGGTTTGAAGGTCAGCAGCTGTACAAAGATTCTATTTGACTATACTATTTAAATTTAATAAACCAAAAGAAAAGGAACTGACCTAAGTAAGCCACCTCTTTCCAGCTCAAACCCATGTCTTCCTGCCAGTCCTTCAGAACTTGTAGTTTATTTGTTACACTGACTTTTGCTACACATCCCAGCTGCATGGCTGACAGTGTTTTGGAACAATCTCTGTCAGAGATGAGTCGAACCTATTGAAATAAAATTACAGTAAATTCTACATCCAAAGAAATATGACATATAATTTGATTTATTACTACAAGAAAAAAAAAAACAGTTTTGCTTGTAGAAGCTCTCTCAGGTACCAGAAAAGCATTGAATGATTGATTTTCAAAACTCAGACCAGAAGTAATTAGGATCCAAAACCACACAGTCTTGATGTTCCTTTAGGAAAGAGAAATACCTTTCTGCAGCACTCCCTGATGTTAAAAAATAATTTTCATTTGTCTATTTAAATGCAATATGTACTAAATAAAATACTAAATATCAGTAGGAAGGCATGGTGACTATCTAGTGCAGTATGATCTGATTAAGTCACAGTGTGGAATGAGAAAACTCCCAAGAAGATTTCTGAAATATTTGCCAAAGTAGAATATGAAGCTTTTTCCTTGGTCCCTCTACTTAATAACATAATTTATTTATAGCAGTATTTCAGAGCATCAAACCAACACTACACAGACTGAAGCAGCACACCACATTTATCTCTGGAAGTTCATTCCAAATTCGAAGTTTCAGGAATTATGCACAAGGTAAGCTAAAACCAGAAAATAATTGCAGCAGGATTTTCAAAAATGTCAGTTGCAAATCCTTCAGGTTTTCTGTCCAAGAGGTAGACAAGTTTATTTTCCCTAATTGCTTGGCAAACAAATGCTTGGCACTGATTTTAAGGACAGAATGAAGAGAAATGGAGCACAAGGCAGGATTTTATCAGCAACATATACTAGAAATAAATGAAGTACAGCACAAAGACCTAGAGGTCTTTAATGAAACATTGTAAGTCAAAGAAGGTATGGAAATGGGCTCCAACAGGCAACAAAACAGTGATTACCAGCTTCCTACACCTCTGGCTTCCCAGAAAATGAAGCTGAGGGACTGCTGAAAAAAAATCTACATTTCACAGGAGTGGGCTCTGGAGTGACCTAAGTGCAGCCTTCCAGTGTCTGAAGGGAGCCCACAGGAAAGATGACAGGGGCCTGGGGTGACAGGACAAGGGGGAATGGCTTCACACTGACACAGAGCAGGGTTAGATGGGATATGAGGAAGAAATTCTTCCTGCGAGGTTGGTGAGGCCCTGGCACATCACCAGAGCAGCTGTGGCTGCCCCATCCCTGAAGTGTTCCAGGTCAGGCTGGATGGGGCTCAGAGCACCCTGGGATAGTGGAAGGTGTCCCTGCCCATGGCAGGGGGTTTGGAATGAGATGACTTTTAAGGTCCAGCTCAGGCCATTCTATGATTCTCTGAAATGGAGAAAGATGCTGTAATTACTGTGATTGAGAACTTTCTCAAAACACTTATTTTCCTCTGAGGGTTCTGAGGATAACATTTATCCCAACCAATATATTATGCTGCTTGATCACAAGTACTGCAAAGAAACTTCAACTTCTATGCTGCAAGAATATAATTTTTTAGAACATTTTAATGTGCAGGTTACATGAAACATGAAGGCTCACTCTTGAGAACAGCACTTACCTGGATTCCTCTTTTCTTTAACAGATCAATTCCAACAATATCTCTGTAATCATAGGAGACCATTTCCTTGTGATCTTCTGTCACGTAAATGCGACCATTGGTCAGGCATCCATCAATACTGCAAACCAAGAGCCTCACCTCTTTTAGTGGCTCTTTGCCAAAATATCCAAAGCTAGACAAAGAAATTATCTTTTTAGGATGGAAGTTTTTGCACACTCCAAAACCCCAGATATTTCCCATACAACTGTAACCTTCAGACAAAAGAATCAGCTTTGAAATTCTTCTTTTCTAATGTTTTTTCTCATCATAATCACTCTCCAACTATTTTGTCCCTCTTCAAAGAAATGAACAGAACCACCCAAAAGACGGCTCATTTATGTCATCCATTTAAAAATTAGGATGAAAAAGGCACAGAAAATACACTCCATTCCCATTCATTATTTCCATAGAGCAGCTGCAAAGAAAAGGCAGCTGGTGAGGATGGATCAGCTCATGCCTTTACACAAACACTCCCATTCCTGGGCATCAGTTATAGTGGTCTGGAGCATGGAAATCTGGGGCACCTCAGCTGGGAAAGTCAGAGATGATGTAACACATTGCTGTGATATAGTGGGCCTTACACTCTTCACCAAGTTGAACTTTAAGAAGAAAAACCAAACTACCAAAACCCCACCATGTAACAAAGGTAATTCAGTTGGTTTCAACAGAGATAGGAAAAAATGCTAGGCAGAAATAAAACTGCCCAATTATCTTTGATCTCCTTTGCTTACATTCCGTACATTATGAATTCACATGACCACACTTTGAAACTGGCAGCATCAAAGAAAAAAGGGAATAAAAAGTGCTTTTACCTCAACACTCTCTGCTCTGCAATAGGCCAGTCAATGTCTATGTCAATATCCACACTGTGCTCTGCACGCATTTCATAGTAGGCCATTTTACCTCCCTGAAGGAAATAAAACCCACTCAAATTTTCTGCTGGTGCAAACACAAAACTCTACAATTTAGCAGCATGCAATGAAAGCCAAGTGCCTGGTTACACAGTGGCCACCATAGCATATATAAAAGTGAACCATCAATTATGTTTTTGCCAGTGACATAGAACCATTTGAAGGAACCCACTACAGGGTTAATAACTATTTCCATTTCATAACTAGAGAAAGTGTGCAAGATGTTGTCCATTATAGCAATTACATCACACTAATTTCACTAGATCTTTTAATCAGCAAAACAGTAATATCTTCACCATTTGCTCGGGAAGACTATGATTATTATTTGCTTACTGTTACTTAATTTCTAATGGAAAAATATCCACCACACCTCAGTGTTGTTCTGCATCACTACATTGGGATGCAAACATCAGGAAAGGGAAAAAGACTGTTAGTTACAGTACAAAACTGGCATAAGATTAAACTGGCTGAAAATACAAATTTACAGATTATGACAAGGCTCTGACACTGCATGAAGCTCAGTTTCACACCTTCAGTGGCACTAAAATGAATTCTAAGATGCACTGGTGAACTCATGCAAAACTCAACTCAGTATTGTATTGGTTTAGGGTCAAAGCTATAGAACACGTTTATTTGCATAAATTTATTTTGCTATGGAGGATGCTGTTATGAGAACTGCTCTAGCTATAACTAGCCCTGCTAAGTTACAAATAATTAGCAAACTGTTCTGAGGTCAGGGTGCTGTTATTTCACACTGACTGCATCAGAAATTAAAACAGAGCATAGAATTCAGAACCCTCTACAGCAAGAGTAGATGTATTATTCTGAAGAGCATGAAAAACCAGAAGCACTAACCTGCAAGTAGCCTTTCTCAATCAGATGTCTCTTGGCAAAATAAAATGAGCCATTTTCATAGAGCTCCCCAGGCCAGTCTTGCCTCCGGTAGCGCTTGGCTGGATTCAGGTTTTGAGGTTCTGTCATCTTGTTGTCTGTTAACAAAGCAAAAAAAGACAAGATAAACTTCACAGAATTCCTGCTCAGAGTCACTTAACTTCCTAAATAATTTTCTGTTGAGAAATTGAGGGTATAATTCAGTCACCAACTTCTCTCATTATTGCCTTTGTTGCTTAACTTTATAAAGAATCACAGACTGGTTTGGGTTGGAAGGGATGTTAAAGATCATCCAGTTCCAACCTCTTGCCATGGGCAGGGACACCTTTCACTATCCCAGGTTGCTCAGAGCCCCATCCAGCCTGGCCTGGAAGACTTCTAGGGATGCAGAATCCAGAACTTCTCTAGGGAATCACTGAATTGCTTCTCTTTCTTGGAACTGTGAATAAACTGGAGGACTACTCTGTATGCCTAGCAGTGGAAAGGAAATTTTTCATTACCACTTTAGAAAAAAACCCTAAACCAACCAAACAAAAACAACAACAAAAACCTAAGAGTTTGCTTCAAAACCGGTTCCTATAAGGAGTAGGAGGGACATTCTTCCAGACTATCTTTGCCAATGTGAATGAAATACTATTCCTGTACTCCAACTTCTAGTGCACATGGGAATGCCTGAATGCACTCTGATACCTGAAAAGACCAGTCTAAAATCTGGAAGGTGAAAAAAGAGCATATGTGAATAATTTTTGCTTGTGAAAAAATCTTGGCACTTCCCCAAAATACATTCTATTTAAGGATATGCATTAAGTCTTCATAAGTGGTTTAATCAGTGTCCACAACATCTGTCTGCACAAACACCATCCCAAAAATCCCAATATTATTACCAATGACAGCTGTACATGCAGCAGAAAAATCAAATCAGGGACCAGAGACTTTTGTCCTTAAGCCCCTTCAATCCAGATGCACAAAGCAGCTAAAATTCACCAGGTCTCACGATCCAGTTACCACAAGGAAGTTAGAGGGCATTCTCAAACACCCAAATCATCCTGAGGTTTTAGCAGACATACACACACCTTGTGTTTCATAACCACCTAAAGCTTTGTGCTCACTGAAGTAAACAATTGCAGTCAGAGACTTTCTCTTTCAGGGTCTATCAATGTTAAACCTTAATGCATAACGAGCAACAGAACTACATAGAAAGAAAAAGCCCCATAAAATTCCTTTAGCATAATCAGTACTCTAAAGCAGTATGGAAAAATAAAAAGAAGAAAAACCATTATATGATGCTGCTGGGAGTCACTGTCACCTAAAACACCACACACCTGAAACAACATTTGCTTTTATCCTTAAGCTGCTCACATTGGCACAATGTGTTTCCAGTTGTCCTCAGTCCTTGCAGCTGAATGATTCCTTATCTCTCACCACATTAAAAATGGTAGCATGTCATTTTATGCTGAAGAATTAGTTTTTTTCAGGTAGGCCTCGAGGCTTTCTTATTTATCAGTCTGCCTATGGAAGCCACATGACACATCCACATGAGATTTATTCTTTCACATTTGTCCCTTCCAGCATCTCAAGATGTGCATGTAGCTTCCTAAACTGCAATCCATAGAATTCTAAAATTTTCCACTCATGCTTTTGATACTCCTCTTATACTACACAAACAGTATCACTTATTTCTCCTCTTATGAGGAACAATGACAAATGTCCAAGTGTTTAGTCCAAACAAAGGCTTAACTTTTATTCCAACTTGCCTCTCAGATCAAGCCTCATTTATTACACGTGCTCTTTTACAGCATGATGCTTTCTAAACTAAAAAAAAAAATAAATCAGAAGCAATTTATATCTCAACAGAATGACTGTAATGCCTGAGTAACTTTCATTAAAAAATAAAACCAAAACCAAAAAAACCCCATAAAACCATCCCAAAACTCCAGTGTGAGAGTACCTGAAATAACAATTTTTAAAAACGAAGAAAAAAATTCTGCTTTAACCACAGAAACAAAGCTAACATATATAACGTGTGGAATAGCTCTTTGTACCAAGAAAAAAAGTGCTTTATAGCTAAACCAAGGTACAATCTTTATTTGTAAAATTGCAGTCTTTGGTCATCTTGGTCACTGTAGCTGAGAGGCATATTTTCTCTGGGAAAAACCAGTCATATTTTTCTGGATGAGCTAACCAACATGAGTTCAGCCCTCATGATTCAAAGGCATTTTGCAACGTGACATAAGTCAGCAGCCAAATTATCAGGATGAAACAAAGCCTAAGTCTCCAGGCTAAGAGATTGCCATTCCATCCTCACCAAGATTTTATCTCACATTATTGGTCATTTGTTAGCTACTGAATAGCAAGAACAAACAGTTTTCTAGTTAGGAGACCTCAGTGTCATGTCTGAATACACATGAACACCCACTAGGAAGAAGTTAACATGTGAAGTTTTTTTGGAACTGTATCTTCAGCCTAGAGAAGCTAATATAATTTTAATTTCTACAAAACAGTTACAGAAAGGGTGAGCAATGCTCAGTAATATCAAGACACCAGTGCTTGGAAAGAATTTCTAAGCCATCACAAATGGCCTCAGCCATCACTTCCTAAAATACCATAGGTATGAAAAGCAAGAGTTTGGGGAAAAAAAAAGTGAAGTATAACTGTAACCAGAAACATCTAAATATTACCTCCTTTCTTTACCTCACTCCATCTGAATTGATGCCGCCTCACAACAGAGAAGACGGAATCAAACCCCTCCTTCTGGATCAGATCTGCCACTTTTATAAGGTCACTGGGATGTAAACAGGGAGATGTTGCTTGAATATTTCCTACAATATCAACCTCTAAAGAAAAACAAAGAGACATTTATGAAACAATTCACGTCTTTAGCAACACAACTGCAAAGTGTGGTATGACTAGGTACCACACACCAAAAAAAAAAAGAAAAAAAAAAGAGAATCTTTCTAGCTTTTATTTACTCAATGCTTTACTTATTTTTCTAAATAATAAATGCATCATCCCTTTGGGGTGACAATATAAAAGCTCAGCATATTTCACCCCTAATTTACCACGATGGTGATTGAGAAACTCTGTGATGGCTTCTAGAGAAGTTGAGGAGTCTTGAGAGACTTCGGGGCTTCTGCGATGGACCTTGGCACCAAACTGCTTCGCAACCTTCTCAATCTCATCGTGGTCTGTGGAAACCCATATGCTGTTGGCAGACAGTGACAGAAATTAATATAAAGAATAAATCCCACCATTGTTGACTTAACCTGAAAAAAAACCCTCCAGCTTGTTCATGTCTGTACTATACCTTGCAATGAAAGGAACTAGTTTTTGTATTTGTGTTAATAAAACTATCCCAGTCAGTCCAACAAGCAGCTTTTAACAATGGGGATAAAACATGCACATTCACCTGAGTGTAAAATCTGAATCTCGCATTCCATGCAGGAAGCTCAGGCAACATAAAATGCAGAAATATTACCAGAAAAATCCAGTGTTAGCACAAAGAATTTGTTAGGTATGTTAACAGATCAATGAATTGTGAATGCGTTGGGTGTGGCATCCAGAATAATATAAGAGTTTAGTTTCCAACATGTAAAACTGCCACAAAGTTGAAAGATAGCTTATGCTGCAAGAGTGTTAAATGTGTTAATTGGGCTTCATACAATCCCAAAGAAGAAGCTGTTCAAGTTCCTTATGTTTTGGCACAGAAAACTTCCAGTACTGGTAAAGTAAGATTGTGATTGTTCAGGAAAACAAACATTTACAAAAGGAAGGGCTAATTCTGAGTATCACATGATGACAAACACTGAGCAACTGTGAAGCCACTGCTGTCATCGTTGTGACAAAAAAGGATGAGAGGTGTAAAAACAAAAGTTATGAAAAGTCACCCTTCCTCTCTCAGGAATGTGAGAATGTGCTGGCATTCTCAATGCACTGTGCACAGCAAATGGTGCTGCAGTTACATTTATTCCCCCAAAGACATCGTGGGATCATCAGAAAGATAATATGTGTGACAGTGACAGCAATGTCAAGTCACACCCACAAGAACAAACACACATGAGGTGTTTTCCAGAAACTGCTTTGGGATGGTGAACTTAAATACACACTCCCCATTGAACTACCAGAGTTTTGTTGTGTAACAGGTACGCTGGACAGCTGTTCCACAGGTGACCAGACAAACCTGGTACACGTCCACCTGCTGCACCTGCTGTGCCTCAAAGTCAGGCTGCACAATCCTGACTGGCTTCCTGTTGGGAAAATTCAGATACAAACAGAAGCCAGAGCAAGTCATCCAGCAATACAGATTCACAATCATTAAGGAATTACTAGTAACCTCGGTCAGAAGTGTTCTTGTCTGTTTCTTTATTAAAAATAAAAGCGAGTGCTGCATCCTCTGCTTTTCAGATACAGCAAGAATGGTTTTCCAGGCTCGATAATGACAGAGCATCTAGGAGATACAGAGTGCTCTGTATCTAGCTGGGCTAAATTTCTGCTTGACTTGCTCTGAGCATTATGCAGCAGGTTTGGACTGGGAATCTGCCCCTAAGTGTGCTACACACTGAGCACATCCTGACCTTGGCTTTAATGATCAGCAGATATATAGGAAATCCTCAGTTTTGCTCCTGCAGAAAAATCTGTAACACCTCTATTCTCAACACCGACAACACACGTGTTTCTATCCATCTCTAATTATTGCTACTGAAGTTTCAGGAACTTGGCCACAAGATGAGCTTCTCTTCTGTGTCACATGGGCATACAAGATTATCTCCTTCAACCTGACATTTGAGTGCGTGCTTCTGATGTGCTGTGTCCAGCTGTGGGCTCCCTGATACCAAAAAGGAAAATGTGAGCAAGCTCAGCAGGAGCCAGCACAGTGACTGGGCTTGGGATATGCCACACATGCCAGGAGATGCTGAAAGAAACACCTCAGCAAGGAGGTGATTTCACTGCTGGGCAGGTAGAATATAAGGAAGATATTTCTGGGTGAGTGCAGTGAAATAACAGAAGGGCTGTGGGGTTTCCATCCTTGGAAATCCCAAGCTCAGTGCACGCTGTCCTGAGTACCCAGATGACCACGAACCAAAGTCATCCTGTGCTTCAGCAGTTTTCCAGCCTGGCAGTCCAATTTAATGCAGATCTCATCGTAAAGTAAACCCATCAATATTTACTGGCAAACATCACCAGCTAGTGGCCACTCAACTACGCATCAGAACAACTTTAATTTCAAATTACTGTGTTGTAAGACTTTAATTCCTTTATTCCTCTGCTTCTCACCCTCAGCAGGAAGGGACAGCTGAGTTCTTGACGGGTGCTTGCCTTGCCTGGTGCCACAGTAAGTGAACTCCCCTTGTCTTAAGTGAGGATCAATCCTGCCTCATTGGCAGAGTCACAGCATGGGTCAGGCTGGAAGGGACCACAGCGGTCACCTGGTCCCACCTCCCTGCGTCAGCAGGGTCACCTGGAGCAGGTTGTACAGGATTCCATCCAGGCAGCTTTTGAGTATCCCCACCGAGGGAGACTCCACACCCTCTCAGGGCAGCCTGTTCCAGTAAAGTTGTTCTTCCTCATGTCCAGGTGGAACTTCCTGGACATTAATTCCTGACGTTTCTCCTGTCCCATTGCTGGGCCCCACGGAGCAGAGCCTGGTCCCTGCTCTGAGCCCTCCCTGCAGACACTGACAGTCATCCCTAAGACACTCCTGACGAAGCGGCGGCTTCCCCCAGCCCCTCCGTACGCCAGGGTCCCTCGGCACCTCCATCCCGGACCAGAACCTGCCTAGCACGTCCATCCCGGGCCAGAACTAGCCGGGGGAGGCGGAGGCCGCGCATGCGCACCTGTGGAAGACGCCGGCGTCGATGGCGGCTCGCAGCACCCAGCCGATGAGCGGCACCCCCGCCAGCAGCTTGATGTTCTTCAGCGGGATCCCCTTGCTGCCGCCCCGCGCCAGCACCAGCGCGGCCAGGTGGGGCTGCGGCCGCCCCTCGCCCGCATCCATGGCCGTGTCCCTGTCTCTATCCCGGTCCACTCCTCTCACCCGCCGCACCCTGCCACGCGCGCGGACCGCCCCCTCGGGGCATGCCGGGAAATGTAGTCCTGCGTCGCCGCGCATGCGTGTGGGGAGCGTGGCGGGGAGACGCCGAGGGGACGGCGAGGGACGCGCCGAGGGGGGGCTCGAGGGGAGGATTCGGGGATCATCCGCCCTTTAGGGAAGAAAAGGTGCTCTCTTGGCACAAGTGCCCCACAAAGGCCTGTCTTCGTGCCTGCTTTCACGGCAGGATGGATGGATGGATGGATGGATGGATGGATGGATGGATGGATGGATGGATGGATGAACAGACCTGTGCTGTGTGTTTCTCTTTAGTCTAGAGAAGACTGAGAGGGAATCTTATTAATGCACGTCAATATATCAAAGGGTGCTGAAAGGATGGTGCCAGACTCTTTCCAGTGACAGGATGAGAAGCACTGGCCATAAACTAAACACAAGAAACTCAGCATGAGGACGAATTTCTGCACACTGAGGGTGGCAAAGCCCTGGAACAACTGTCCAGGGAGAGCCTGGAGTATCCGTCTCTGGGGACATTCCAAACTCATCTGGACACGCTCCTGTGTCACCTGCTCCAGGTGACCCTGCCGTGGGCACACAGAGCACGGCTGTGAGGGAGGTGGGCTCATCCGCCGAGCCGAGAGCTGAGCGCGCTGCCCAAGCCCGGGCACTAGGCCAAACGATCCCTGGTTCCCTTCCCTTCCCTTCCCTTCCCTTCCCTTCCCTTCCCTTCCCTTCCCTTCCCTTCCCTTCCCTTCCCTTCCCTTCCCTTCCCTTCCCTTCCCTTCCCTTCCCTTCCCTGTTGGGCAGTCCCGGCAGAGGGCAGAGCAGCCACACGGAGCCTCGTGGTGGGAAGGGGAGCTGGTACGCGCTCCTTGTGTCTCTTTTCCACTTTATAAAAACGTATTAAAGCATAAAAGCACGGTGTTGCTCTTCCAACTGTCTTATAGAAACCGAATGGGCAAAATAAAATAATCCACTGCTGACATAAGGTTGTACGGGAATTTGGGGTTTAATATAGTTTAGATAGTGGAAAGTAGAGGCTGTTGAAAAAGTCACAAAGTCACTCCTGGAGACTCAGGATCTCAGTCCTATGTCGGTCCATAGTGAAAACGTATCACATGTGGGTCACAGATGTCCTCTGGTTATTCAAGATGTGTTGTGGAACAGAAGGACCTTATCCATCACTGCCAAACTAAACATTCCCACTTATATTCATCAGTAGGCAGGCATTTGAGGAGAGTATTCATACTGGGGGTTGGTTGTTCTTTCTGAAGTGTTCCAGCAGACCCGCCAGAGATAGAGAGCTTGCTCTTCTATTCTACAGATCAAGGCAGCACCTTTCAGACCTCTTTATTTTTTAGTAAGATGAAATTAGGAGCCATAAGGTTCTGAAGAGTATGATTCCTGCAGGTCACGTTCCATGTACTTATTTTTAATTTTTAACTCTAGCATTTTAAGCCTTTGCCACATCCAAACTCCCACACATTTAGCCCTATGCTTCTATCAGAGTTTGCTGTGTCCGCAATGGACCAAGTTCGAAAAAATCTCCAAAATTATTGAGTCCAAACTTTGACTGAACACCACCACATCAATGAGACCATGGCACTAAGTATCACATCCAGTGATTTCTTGACCCCACCCCCTGCCTGGACAACCCATTTTTGACCACAGTGAGGAAATTAAAACCACCTGTAATTTGGTTCACCACATTGTGAAAATTGTATGGTTTATCAACATAATACAGTTCATTTCTCTTCTCATAGTCTAGCAAGATCCCAAGCAGGGAGCTGAATCCGGGTTCAAGTCTCATATATAAAAGAGAAATGGCGTTATATTCATATAAAAGAGAAAGAAATGACATTAGGACATCTGGCACACTTCACAGATGCCATACTAGATGGGATTCAACTAGTAAGAATATTTTTATAGGTCTGTGAGTAATTAAAACTGATTTAATTGCTTTTTCTCTTAATATAAAAAACCATTTCACTCACAGGGCTGAAACAGTCCTCAAACAAGCATCTTAAATACTTTTGTCCTTTTTCAAAGACATATATGTAATCCAGTCCTAAAGACTATCAGTGATGTTAACTGGATAACTTGTCCAGGCAATATAGAGATTTGTATGATAACAAAGATTTTCCTAATCTTTACTAAATCTTTTCTGTACTATGAGTCCATTCATTCCTATCTTTTCCAAAACATATCTGGAGATTAGATTCAGCAGGCATGTGCCTTTTTGAAAACAGGCCCCATCTCAGCTCAGACTTTCCTTTTCAGGATCAGAATTGTGAGTTCAGTCTTCTGGTTCAGATCTTCCAGACTTCCCATCATCACTGTTATTCTCCTCTGGGCTGCTTATAATGTTATATTGCAAGGGGGTGAAGCAGAAGGATTATTGCTTCACATACCTCATTTATACACCTCTATAATTTACCTTTTCTCGTGCAACATTGACATAATTCAGCCACTGGCTTGCTTTGACCTAAGGTTTGTTTCTGCAAGGGCTGGGGCATAGCCAGATGCTTCCAACCCTCTGCCTTTGCCTCTGGCTGTGTGTGCCCCAAGGAGGTTTCCTGCAGTCATTCCTATGGCAACCAGGCCTGTCCCCACATTTAAATAATTTCATGAAAACCACATTCTTTCACCACGTGAAAGCTATCGAGAGTTTCACTGAGCTTATGCTATAGGGCATCTACTCCATCTCCTCCTAGCCACAGGTCTAGGGTTTGTAGGTTAAAATTATACTGGTTTTGCTCATTCTCTGTAAATTTTTATTGACTATTAATTGCTTTGATTTATTTTCTGTGCTCACCAAAACTTTTTTATTATTTATTCCAGTTTTTTTTTCCAGGATCAAGTATTCAAGTAATGGTTCAAATGCATCTGTATCAATATTTTAGTTCAGATTATTAGTGCATTTCTGAACTGATTCTCCAGATACCTAAACTGTTGCTGTGTGGCACTACCTGCCAGAGGGGATAGTCCCCAGGCCTTTCCTTTGTCCCTGTTTTTAACACAGGGAGCATTTTATGCTTTCTGGTCTCAGTAACTCTGCCTGGTTCAGAGGGTTCATCAGCTGCCTGCTCCAGTATCCAGGGATGAAACTCAGCTCTGAGCACACATTACTCACCTAAATACATCCTAACTCCTTTCTCTGTCTTTGTACTGATGTCTTGCTCCTGTGTGGGTCACAGCACTCAGGGAGATAAGAACATTTGCTATTCTAATAATAGAGAAGTGGAGAACAGAACAAAGAATATAATGCTTTCCATATCTTTGGAACATGTATCCTGGTTTGGGGCACCATGAAAGTGGCCTGCAGGCACAGGTTTCCCAGTGTGGAGGATGGGATTTCAGCTCCTCCATCACCACCAGCTAGTGCAGCAGCCATTCCCACATCCCATGGTGTGGACAAGGTCTTGGAACTGCACAGGTTCCCCTCACTAATATCCCCATCCTGTCATTCCCAACTGTCCCTGAACAGGAAGAGCCAAACTGGATAATTTCAAGGAAATGCTGGTATAGAAGTAAAATTAGTGGGAATAAATCTATTTTAAAAATATGTTCCATGCCATAGGACTCCATTGGGAATAGTAAAATCTGTGACTTTCCTTTCTGGCCACCACTTAGTTGCTATGAACTATCAGGTTTTTGTTTTTCTGAAGAAAGAAGTCCATTCATTCAGGTCCATGTGTAGCAGTAAATGGACAAAGCCATAGGTGTTCAGTAGGTGTGTGCTGACGTGTTAATGCTCAGAGGTTGTGACCTAACTGGCAGGGAGCACACCATGGAGCTTAGCTGATTAATTAGGGGAATTCTCTGCAGTGTGGAGCTGCTATTAACATGTGTCAGGCATGGCTGGACAAGAAACCTCTCAGTAATGATGGCTGGGGTCTGATTTCACACCAACACCCTCTGAACTGCCTGGCATGGGGTCAGCCCTGCCCTTCCAAGTTGCCAGTCTCGACATCTGCTCTGCCCTTTCTGACATCCACGCTTTGTACTGTGAAAAGACAGGAAAAGCATGTCACAGCAGTTCTCTGAAGCTCACACTGGAGCCTTGTGGAGCGTGGGTCAAAGCCAAATGCATTTAAAAAAACAATGGCCAAACTGCTGTTGGCCCAGCTGGGTCTGGGATTTAATTTTGGGTGCGTGCAGTCTAATTCGGGCTCCATAAGTAGCAGTGCAGGTGGGCCCAGTTGCAGGGTTGTGTCTTTTCTTAGGACATACCTAATTTAATGAATACTACAGAAATAGACAAGAAAGACTTAATGGAGCCATGTGGTGGGGAGTTCTGGGACACACTTTCTGGCTGAACTGGGATAGGCTCTTTCTAGGCCTCTCTGCAGCAACACAAAGTTCAGAATTGCAAATCTCCTTGCCTGAACCATGGATAGCTCCAGTGAAATCCCTGCAGTTCTGCTGAAGTCAAACCAGTATAAAGGAAACAGGGAATGGGCCTGGTCAAATCTATCAAATTACCCATTGCTGTTATTGGAAGCTTCATGCAAGTCTTGGGCTAATACAGTTTGTCCTTACATGAGAGTTAGGTGAATAAATATTACCATGTTTATAAAAAAGGCCAAGGAAGTGATCAAGGGTCTGAAATTTCTTAAAAGCAGGCAGGAAGGAATAAGATTGCTCAGAGTTTATGCTTGACCTGGTGTATTTTTTGGACTTTCTGCAGAAATTAAATGGAACAAACTGCTTTGCTGCAGCAGATTGAAATGCACAGTGTTTAATTCAGTGCCTGCTGGATGGACTGTGTTCCTTTTGGCAATTTCATGGAAACAGAAGAAATCAGAATTGAAATACGAATATTTAAGAGTAATTTCAAACTGCTGAAATATTATTATTGTTATATAATTATTATTATTATTATTATTGTTATTGTTATTGTTATTGTTATTGTTATTATTACCAAGACTATTGCACTGTTTGACAAATAGTGTAGACATTACCTGTCTGGATAT